AGTCATCGCCTTGGGCTTCCTGGCCCGGCTCAGCACCTGCTTACTGAAATAGAACTTTGAGGTCTATTCTTGGCTTTGGACAAACATTACCAAACATACATCACATGCCTGTTGCCAAGCCTAGAGGTGGAGCCAGAAGTGGTAGAGGGTTCTGCAGATGATAACGAAGCCTCCGACTTTCTTGGGACTTTCCCAGTTTTAATCCAGAACATGCACTATGTTCAGAGACTCAAGAAACCCTCTGGTCAGATTCGGAGAGTTGCTCAGGGACCCTGGAAGCAAACAGCTCCCCGTATGGAAGGTACCAATAGGTGCCTGTACACAGGCACCGGAATTGGGAGAAGGCAGAAGTGTACTTGAAAAGGAGGAGGTGTCATCTTACTGATGGATACTGGGGAATAAACCCTTCCAGAGTTTAGGGAATGAACTGTAACAATGAGCCATTATTATCCCCGACACATACTTAAGTCAATGGATTCTAATAAATGTATATAACCACTTACTTGCTCTACTAATCAGAAACTTTATAGTCAGACCTGCCCATCTCACCTGATTTCGGATGCATGTGGCCTATTTTATAACTCAGCAAATCCCACCGTGTTCTCTTTCGACTGGTTTCCTCTGCTCAGCCTGTTTTTAAAGTTCATTTGAGTTACATGTGTCAGGGGCCAGGACATGGTAGCTCATTGGTAGAGTGCTTGCCTAGCATGCACGAAGCCTGTGATCCCTGTAGCACTTCATACATGAACAGAAGTCCTCTCCCGTAACCCCAACACTCCCCCAAGAGGAGCAGACGTTCAAAGTCATCTTCAGCTACAAAGTGAGTTAGAGACCAGCCTGGGCTACAAGAAGGCAAAAAAGCAAAAGCAGGGGGGCTGGAGAGATGGCTCAGTGGTTAAGAGGACTGGCTGTTCTTCAACAGGTCTTGAGTTCAATTCCCAGCAACCATATGGTGGGTCACAACCATCTGTGAGGTCTGGTGTCCTCTTCTGGCCTGCAGGCATACATACAGACAGAATATTGTATACATAATAAATAAATAAATAAATAAATAAATAAATAAATAAATTTATAAAAAAAGCAAAAGCAGAAACAAGCAAATTACCAACAACAAACAAAGCAAACAGTAACAACAACACACCTTTGAAAATTTCTCTCATAATTTTTTTATGAAGGTCACATACATCCTTTAATAATTTCATTTCTCTGTGTGCTTTATGTAATTACTCTGTGACTGTTTATTGTTACTAATTTCTGCTCTCAGTACACAGCAGAGTAAAGAATGTTTGCATGCTGTCCTGCATTGTAACACTGGTGGATTCATCTGCTATTATTTTTTTCTGGTCAGACTCCTCAGGAGTTTCTGTAGTTTTCTGTGAGGTCTGTGGATAAAGACAATTTTGCCTCTTCTTGTTCATGATGTATATGCCGGTCTTGTGACTTCAGAAATGGTTCCCAGGAAAGTACTGAACAGAACTGGAGATGAAAGTATGACCTCATTCCTGATTATAGAAAAAAAAAAAAACAAACCATTTCCTCTCTTATCGCAGAGCACATTGTTATCTATAGACAAAATATATAAAGTAATGCTCTTTATTAAGTTGGAAATTTTCCATTTATAATTTGCTTTTTACATTCAAAGAGGGTTTTGAGCCTTGTCAAGTGATTTTCAGTTGAAATGGCTAAGTGATTTTCCTCCTTTGTTCTGTCAGAGTGGTGAATGACGTGAGCTGGTTTTTAATTGTCAAGGCAGCATTGCATTCCTGGAATAAAGCCCATTTGGCCATAATACATTATAGCTTTCTTTCCATGTATTAGATTCAATGTGGTTCACATGCGTGTGTATGCATGCATGTGGGTGTGTTTGTGTATGCACATATGTGTGTAGAGGCTAGAGATCAACCTCACGCGTGGTTCCTTGGGAGTGCTCCACCTCGTTCTTTGAGGCAGGCTCTCTCACTGGCCTGAAGCTTGCTTTGTAGACTAGACTGGCCAACGTATGAACCACATCATAGAGCCATCTGTCATCGCCTCCTCTGGGCTGGGATAGCAGGTGCCCATTGCCACACCAGGCTTCATACACAGGCTCTGAGGAGCAAACTCAGATCCTCGAGCTTGTGGGACACTAACTGAGCCATCTCCCCGCCCTTCCGTTTGTTAATAATTGCTGGCTGTGCTGCTTAATAAATATGGCTCCTAAGTTCTTTACGGCATTTGTCTGCAATTTTCTTTATTGCCTTTGTCTGATTTTATTATCAGATTTATACTGGCCTCATAAAATAAGCTGAGACTGCCTTTTTATATCCTGAGTGTTCATAAGAATTGTATTACATCATGCTTAAATCTTTTATAGACTGCACCTGTGGAAATGTCAAAGCCATATTTTCTTTGCAAGGACGTTTTGTTTTAGTTTTAAAAAATTAATTTCTTTAATTATTGTGTTATTCAGAGATATCCATTTCATGTATTATCAAACCCACCTGCACTGAATTGTACATATTATTTCCTTATTTTCCCTTTAATGTCTATATTGTCTACATAATAACATCATTTCTTTATGGTATTAGACAATGTTTTTCTCTAATATTCAATTAGAGTTATTTTTTTAAGGATTCATCAATTTTATTAATTTCTTCAATAACCCTGCATTTTCTAACTCTATTTCCTGTGGGGTTTTTAGTTGTTGTTGATTTCTGTTCCCATGGCTACCACTCTTTTTAATTGTGTTTACTTTGGGTCTAATTTTCTCTTCTCTACATATTTATTTTTCATTTGAGACCTGGTCTCTTGGTAACCCAAGGAGGCCAAGTTCAAACTTGCTAAGTAGCTTAGACTGGCCTTGAACTCATTCAGATATTCCTGCATTCATCTCCTGTGTGTTGGGATTACAGACGTGTATCAGCACGGAGTGCTGGAGATTGAACTCAGGGCTTCCCCATGCTAGGCAAACATGCTGCCAATTGAGGCCCAGCCCTGGCTCTCACACCAGTTTGGTTGTCTGTCTGTCTGTCTTCTGTCTTTCTTCCTCCCTCCCTCTCTCTTTCTTTTTTATTAATTTTTTCATTTATTTTACATACCAACTATAGTTTCCTGCCCTCCTCTCTTCCTGTTCCCTCCCCCCATTTCCCATCCATTCTGCCCCTCCATCCACTCTTCCTCCATTCAGAAAGGGACAAGCCTCCCATGGGGGTCAACAAAGCTTGTCATATCACGTTGAGGCAGGATCAAGCTCCTCCCCCTGCATCAAGGCTGGGTGACGCATCCCTGCCATGCCAGCTTTCTTAAGCAGACTATTTTCATGGTGTATCTTCCGCCAATCATTACTTCAAGTCTACCCTTGTAATTGAAGTGTACCTAATGTAGATTACATCAAGGTGGATATTTTTTAATTTTTAAAAATTTATTTATTTTACAATCTAACTACAGCCACCCCTCTTCCATGATCTTCAGCAAAGCATGGCATATTAAGCTGCCATAAAACCAAGCGCCTCCCCCAGAATTCAGGCTGGGCAAGGCAATCCCAACCTAAGGACTAGCTTCCCAGTAACCAGTCAAAGCACTGGGGACAGCCCTGCTCTCATTGCCAGGAGTCCCACATATAGACCAAGCTACACAGTTGTCACATTTTTGCAGAGGGCCTAGGTTGCACCATGTAGGCTCCCTGGTTGCTGGTTCAGATTCTGTGAGCTCCTATGAGCCAGACTAGCAGTTTCTGTGGGTTTTCCTGTGATGTTCCTGACCCCCTGTTTTTTACAATCCCTCCTCTTTCTCCTCAGCAGGACTCCCCGAGCACAGCCCAAGGTTTGGCTGTAGGTCTCTGAATCTGCCTTCATCAGTTGCCAGATGAAGGCTCTCTGATGACAATGTGGGTAGTCGCCAATCCAATCACAGGTGACAGCCAGTTCAGGCTACGCATCCACTGAGGCCAGGAGTCTTAGTTGGAGCCTTGCAGACTCCTGGAAGTTTCCTTTGCCTCAGACTTCTACCCAGCTCCATAAACCCCTTGCCAGTCATCTCTGTCAGCACTGTTCCCCTCTACCCATCCCTAACCCAATCCCTCAAGTTCCCGTGCTCCCTGTCCAACCAGAAGATCTCCTCTATTTCCCCCTCCCAGGGAAATCCATGGATCCCCACTTGGGCCCTCCTTGTTACTTAGCCTTTCTGGGTCTGTGAATTGTAGCATGGCTATCCTTTACAGTTAATATCCACTTATGAGTGAGTACATACCATGTTTGTCTTTCTGGTCTGCTTTATCTCATTTAAGATTATTTTTTTCTAATTCCTTTCATTTGCCTTCAAATTTCCTGACGTCATTGTTTTTAACAGTTGAGTAATACTCCATTGAATAAATGTACCGCATGTTCTTTGTCCACTCTTTGGTTGAGGGTCATCCAGGTTGTTTCCAGGTTCTTGGCTATTACAAAAAAAAAGAAAAAAAAAGACTGCTATGAACATAGTTGAGCAAGTGTCCTTAATGTATGATCGAGTATCCTTTGGGTATATGCTCAAGAGTGGTATTGCTGAATCTTGAGGTAGATTGATTCTCAATTTTCTGAGAAACTGCCATATTGATTTCTAAAGTGGCTGCACAAGTTTGCACTCCCACCCATAATGGAGAAATATTCCTCTTCCTCCACATCCTCTCCAGCATAAGCTGTAGTGTGTGTGTGTGTGTGTGTGTGTGTGTGTGTGTATGTTTAAATCTTAGCCATTCTGACAGGTGTCCTTTTGATCTTCATTTCCCTGATGGCTAAGGAGGTGGAACATTTCTTTTAGTGTTTCTCTGCCATTTGAGATTCTTCTGTTGAGAATTCTCTGTTTAGGTCAGTACCCCATTTTTAAATTGGATTATTTAGTTTTCTTTGATGTCTTGTTTCTTGAGTTCTTTATTTATTTTAGAGATTAGCCCTCTGTCAGATGTGGGGTTGGTGAAGATCTTTCCCAATTCTGTAGGCTGCCATTTTGTCTTGTTGACTGTGCCCTTTGCTTTACAGATATGCCTCAGTTTCATGATATCCCATGTATTAATTGTTGAGAACACTTCAAGTCTTTGAAAAAATAAATTGGAGAAGCTATCAAAAGTTGGAAAGATCTTCCACGCTATGGATTGGTAAGATTAACAAAGTAAAAATGACTATCCTACCAAAAGTATCTAAATCTCTATCAAGATGCCAACACAATTCTTTATAGACCTTGAAAGAACAATACTCAACTTCATAAGGAAAAACAAAAAACCCAGGATAGCTAAAACACAAAAAAACAAAAAACAAAAAACTGCCAGAGGTATCACCATCCCTGATCCCAAATTTTACTACATACCTATTGCAATAAAGACAACTTGGTATTGGTATAAAAACAGACAGGTGGATGAAAAGAATTGAATAAAAGACCCAGACATAAATCCACACACCTATGGATACTTGATTTTCTACAAAGGAGCCACACTATACAATGAAAGCATCTTCAACAAATGGTCCTGGAATAACTGGATGTCTCATGTAGAAAAATGTAAATAGATCCATATCTATCATCCTGCACAAAACTCAAGTCCAAGTGGATCAGACCTCAAAATAAACCCAGTTACACTGAACCCGATAGAAGAGAAGGGGAACAATCTTGAACACACTGACACAGGAGAAAAGTTCCTGAACTTTTAATTTTTTAAAAAAAGATGTATTGCTTGTTTTCCTTGCATTGATGTCTATGCACCATGTGTGTGCCTGGTGCCCACAGAGGTCAGAAGAGGACATTGGATCCAGTGGAACTGGAGTTACAGATGGTTGTGAGCTGCCATGTGGGTGCTGGGAAACAAATCTAGGTCCTCTGCAACAGCAAGAGCTCTAACTGCTGAGCTATATAGTGGTGTCCAATGGCACAGGGTATGCGTTACCATCCCCAAACATAGGTAAGGGAGCATAGTGAGGGAATAGTGGACCAAAGCAAGGCCTGAAAACAGCTGAGCAAACTCCTTTGTTCGAAGTTTTCCTCAGCCGGTATCGACGACTCTGGCATCTCCAGCATCTTGGGGGTCCCCAAGGCCATCTAGGCTTCACCTTCACAAGCTTCACACAACATCTGCTCTGGGCCCCCATACAGGGACACCCCTGCCACACAGCTGGCCTCAACAACTTCTGTTAGTTGTGGAAGAAGACTCCATATCCCCCTACTTCTGTCCTTGACTCAAAAACCAGAACCAGTGATCGAAGCTGCCAAGTTCTGCTGCTTGCTGGAGCTGGAACACGACCCCCTCGTTTAGTTACCCCTTTACCAGCTTTCTGGTTGTGATGGTTACCTGCACTGCCTAAACTTGGTTGTCCTGGAACTGACTCTGTAGACCAGGCTGGCCTCAAACTCAGAAATCCACAAGCCTCTACCTTCTGAGTGCTGGCATTAAAGGTGTGCACCACCTTGCCTGGACTTAAGCAGTTCTTTCATTCCCTTTCATTTTTCTTTAATTTTTTCCCCACAAATTGGAAGCTTAACTGGGTGAGGTCTTGCCCTGAGGTCACCAGTCCCTTTATTCCATTCCTTAATCTGTTTATCTCCTGGAACACAAGATTCAGCTACATTCCACTTCCTGGCACTTCTTTTCTCCTTTACCTGTATATTTTATATTTTTACTTGTTTAGCTTGCTCCTTTTCATTATAAATCTTCATAACAGTGGACACTAATAACCACATGACAGAGTCAATTCTAGGCTGTTTTGAAATTTCCTCTGCCAATGGAATTAATTCAAAACTCTTCCATTTAGCCTGAGTCAAACTTTTTGGACAAGGGAAAAAAGCAGCCACATTCTTTGCCAAAATATCACAAGAACAGTTTCTAGACCACACGTTAATATTTTTCTCTTCTGAAACCTCTTGAGACAGATACCTACAGTTCAAACTACCTTCAATACCACTGTCTTCCATGTTCCTACTAATATTGTCCAGTAAGCCCCACTTACAACCTTCAACTGCTTTTCTAATCCACAGTTCCAAAGTCCATATTCCTTCAAACAAAAACATGGTCTAACAGTGTCACTTGGTATGGAGGCCATTTTTTTTAAGAGTAGGGAGCCCCTCTATCACCTTTTCCCCCCATTTGTTGGCTTTCTGCTCATCTTTTGCTCTGTTTTTGCTTCTTCGTGAGTTAATTGAGTAGTTTTAAATACCCCCCCCCCGGTTTTCTTTTGTCTTATGAGTGACATATTTTCTTTTACCTCTTGTTCTAGGGTTAATAATGTGAATCTTTAGTGTCTTAGTGGCTTTTGTGGTAGCGGTGATAACGAAACAATAGAAGGAGAAAGAGTTTAATTCACAGTTCCTGATGCCGTCCATCATGGTGGGGGATTCAAGGCCAACAGAACCTGAGCAGCTGACAGTCCAAAGAGAGCAATACTCGCATGCCAGTGCTCAGGTCACTCTTTCCACTCTTGTCCAGTTTAGGATGCCCCGCCTAGGGAATGGTGTCACCCACTCCAAGTGGTTCTTCCTATCTCAGCTACCACATTCAAAGCATCACGTCATGGGCATCCTCCCAGGTTATTCTAGGTTTTGTCAAGATGAACGGCTAACCATTACATGTAGCATCTAAATGTCTACTCAGGGTCCATATTGTACCCCTTCACTTTTCATTATCTACTTCCCTTTTGCCATATCACAGTTACTTATAAAGACAAACAATAAGATACTCTGTCTCAAATGAGGTAGAAGGTATCCGAGGAAGGTTGGGTCTATTGTTCTCTTAAAGGGAGGGTCAGCTTAAACAGGCTTTGTACACTGTAGGGCATCAGGTTAAGTCCACAGTCTTAAATGATAGCAAAGAATATTATTAACTTGACTTCAAGGGCCAGAAAAACTTCAGCCTCTTTGAAGACAAGAGATATTTTCAGAAAATATATCACCAGATAATTGTGATTTTTCTTTGTATTTCTTCTTAAGTTTCTTTACTGAGTGCCTAACTTCATGTGTCTTAGACCATTTGAAAAATTCCCACCTGCCCCTGAAGTTCTGTTCATTTTTCTGCTTTATTTTTTCCTCTTTGTTCCCCAATTTGAGCAATTTTTACTGATTTGTATGTGTTTTCAAATAGACACTTTCTTTGCTCACTTCTGCTGAGCCACTGGACATTCAGTGTGTATTTCAGTTATTCTAATTTTTAATTTTAAAATTCCTATTTTTTCCCTGTTTTAAATCTTTTGGTTCTTTTCTAAGATTCCTTATTTAGCTAGCCATTATGACCATATTTCCCTTTAGTTATTTGAACATATTATTATCAAGATTTTTTTTTCTGCTGACATTAGGTGCCTATCCTTTCTATGTCTTCTAGTTTTTCTTGACAACAGGGTCACACCTTTTTGTTTTTCAAGTTTAGGAAACTTCTAATTTTTTTATTGAATATTGCTATTGATGCGTTTTTAGAAACCATGAGGCCTCTTCTTTTCTCCTGAACAGCATCATTTTTGGATCCATTGCACAGTTCCATCATGGGCTTAGCCCCTCCCATTCGCCTTGACTTATTTTAGGCATATCTGTGAGGAAACCCACACATTTTTCTCAGTCTCTAAAGTCATGCCGTGAGAGTCAAAGTTACATTTTAAGTTTTAATTACTGTGTCAAAAAGGTCCATGAAACAAAAAGGCCTCTGATCTGCAAGCCCCTTGCCCAAGGACAGGTACTTCCTGAAATGTTAGAGCCTGTTGTTTATGGGAGATAACAAGCTACACGTTTTCAAGCCCCTAAACAAGTTTGTTTGACCCAAACGCACAAGATGTACTTGATAACATGTTGGTGGGAGGTATGTAGGCAGGGAATACGTCAGGATATATCCTTGCCCCTGATTGGGTCTGATTGGAAATACGGTGGCCTTGTAGATTTACTTTTTTTTTTTTTTTTTTTTTTTGATTTTCAACACAGGGTTTCTCCATAGCTTTTGGTTCCTGTCCTGGAACTAGCTCTTGTAGTCCAGGCTGGCCTTGAACTCACAGAGATCCGCCTGCCTCTGCCTCCCAAGTGCTGGGATTAAAGGTGTGCGCCACCACCGCCCGGCTTAGGTTTGCCCTTTTAAGCCTCTATAGAATGTAACTCATTGCCATTTCCTGGGAACCCAGGACTGAGCCTAGCCAGAGTCCATCTTCCTGGCCAGTATTTAATTAAAACTTGCTTCAAATGTGGCTCTAAATTGGAGTAGAGGTCTTATTCTCAGCTGGAGGGATTAACAATGCTTCAATTCTTAGATTTGTTTGTTTGTTTCAGAGTTTGTCTTTGGGTTCTTTCTTTCAGGTGGATGACAGACCTTATTCTGGTGTGTAGGCTTTAGTCTCTGCGTACCTCAGCCTGATGTTTGAGATACCAATGATTCATTGATGACATTCTTTCCCTCCTCTCTGGTCCTGATTTCCAGTGTTACCAGGACTTCTATTCAATTCCATTCTTAACTTGCTGTCAGCCTCTCTATCGATCCTGTACAATGTTTTCCTCTGTGTGTGTGTGTGTGTGTGTGTGTGTGTGTGTGTGTGTGTGTGTGTAGCTCGCCTCAGTGATGGCCCAAACACAGTGTCTGGCCCCTGCTCTGCAGACCTGTCTTCTCCAATGCCCTGCCTTAGGATCACAATTGCTCTAGCTGGCTCACACTCTCAACTCTGACTCCTAAGCTAACTGGACTACTACGGGATCATTTTTATCTTTGACACAGGGTCTCTATAGTCCTGGCTGTCCTGAAACTCACTGTGTAGACCAAACTGGCCTCGAGATCCACCTGCCTCTGCTTCATGAGAGCTGGATTAGATGAATGTGCCACTGTACCCAGCCAGACTACTACTGTATCTTGATTAGCGTTAAAACAAAAGAAAACAACCACTTTTAACAATGAATGTGTGTACATGTGTGATGTGTATATGTGTGTGCGCACACATGCACACGCATACACACATGCTCATTCCTTTATATACATGTGGAGTCTAGAGAACAATCTAGAATGTCTTCTTCAGGAGCTTTGTCTCTCTTAGAGTGTCTATGGCTGTGAAGAGACACCATGAATATGGTGACTTTACAAAGGAAAGCATTTGATTGAGATGGCAGCTTCCAGGTCAGAGGTTCAGTCCATTATCATCAGGGCAGGGAGCAAAGGCAGCGTGCAGGCAGACAAGGTGCTGGCTACATCTTGATCAGAAGGCAACAGGAAGGACTGTGACAGTGGGTGGTATCTTGAGCATAGGAAACCTCAAAGCCCACCAATGCAGTGACATGCTTCCTCCAACAAAGCCACACCTCCTAAAAGTGCCACTCCCTATGAGCTAAGAGGGAGCCAATTTCTTACAAGTTACCACATTACCCATCTCTCTTGAAACAGGAACTCTCATTGATGTGGAGTTAACCAACTGGATTAGAATGGCTGCCCAGAAGCCTCTAGAATCTTCCTGTCCCCACTTTCTCAGTGATGGCAAGTCTGCACCGCTCTACCCAGCGTTTTCTGGGGTCTGGGGACGGTTTCCAGGGACCGGAAGTGGCAGCATGCTGCTGGAGACTGTGCAGAGAGAGGGAGAGTGATCTTGGCATGAAGGGCAGAAGCTAGAATAGAGACGCAGACTCGTAGTCCGGCATTGCCTCCTTGGAATTGGGGTGCTTTTAGGAGTCTTTCATTGTTAGTTCCTACCGGAAACCTGAGTGACGGGGTGTGTGTGTGTGTGTGTGTGTGTGTGTGTGTGTGTGTGTGAATCCGTGATCAGACAGGTAGGATAACTTGGCTGAGGGGAGCAGGGATTTAAGCACCGGTAGAATGCAGAAAGGGAATTCTAGGAGTCACGAGGAAATGGGTCTGCAATTGTGAATGAGGTAAGAGGAAGGACACAGGAGTCGTGTGTGCGCTGAAACTTAACTTACAGGAATCCCAGCAGGGATAAGCTTAATGTAGCAGATAAGGGCCTTCCTATAAGCAGCTTACAGGTGGAGAGAAGGCAGCACAGTGGGGAGCCAGCCTCCCCTCTCCCCCTCGCTAGCAGGGGCTGCCAGAATGAGTCATTGTCATCACGAAATGACTAAGAAAGAGTCAGAGGCTGTGGAAGTGTGTTGCAATGAACCATGATGTCATGACAAGTGTCATGGAAGAAAGAGAATTTGAGCTGCTGACTTCCCAAACTGGTTAAAAGTAAATACTTCTTGTTTTGTAAAGGCAACTGGCCTACTTAACTCCTATTTGGAAGGACCCGGTGGGGGGGAGACTAAGTCTCTCATGCATCCCTAATTGACCTCAAGCTCCCTCTGTAGCCAGGGATGACCTTGTATTTCATTTCTGCCCCCACCTCCCATGCTCAGAGATTACAGGGGTACATTACCACGTCCAGTCTCTGCTGTGCTGGGGATCAAAGTCAGGGCCTTGCACATCCTAAGTGTTCTACCAGCTGAACTACACCTCCGGCCCCATCTTGACTTAAAAAAAAAAAAAAAAAAGAAAGAAAGAAAAATAAAAACAGTTCTTCACACAGCTATAAAAACTCAAAGACACAAAACACAGGGAAAGGTCAGCTTTTGCTCCTAAATCTCTGGCATTGACAGCTTCTATCACCGGGCTTTAAGGAGGCTTCCATGGGTGCCTCAGCATTTAGAAGTGTCTACATAAGAAGTATCTACATTATGTAGACACTTACTATGCATGTTTTTTTGAACCCTGCCATATTAAAAAAAAAAAAAGAATTAGCTTCTAACTTGTGCTTTTTAAAATTCCTTACCAGTCCAGAAGACGGCTGTCTGGTTACTTTGAAAAGTTATTCATTTCTGATTTGTTTCTTTTCTGTGTTAGATGGGTGTGTTTGCTGTAATGCACAGGTGGAAGTCAGAGGACAATTTGCAGGAGTTGGTTCTCTCCTTTTACCACGCGGGTTCCAGGGATTGAACTCAGGCCATTAGCCTTGGCACAACTGTCTTTACCCATCGAGCCATCTTGCCGGTCCCTGATTACTTCTTCTTAAACCCTTTGTGGGGCTTGACCTCAGGACCTCATGCAAGCTCTACCCTGAAATGCTGAGCTACAATAAACCCCTTTGTGGTTGTTTTGTTGTTGTTTGTTTGTTTGAGACAGGGCCTCACTTTATAGAAGCTCACAATCTGCCTCTGCCTCCTAAGTGCTGGAATTACAGACATGCCAAGCCATCCCTGGCTTTGCTTTTTTTTTTTTTAACACCTACATAATTTCCCATCTCACAGCTATATCACAGCTGACCTGTTCTGCTATTAATCTCCAATGTTTACAACTACATGCAGTGCTATACACAACCTTCGGAATGCATCATTTCCCGTGTGTGTGGGGGAGAGAAACAGAATAAGAGAATGAGAGAGCAGGCATGGGACTGCAGGGTTAAAGGTCATGAGTTTTCCAAATGGAGACAGGCCTCCTTTAAATGGTTATATGTGTTATTTATTTTTTTATTTTTATTTTTCCTGAACAAGAGATTCTCTGTGTAGCTCTAGGCTGTCCTGGAATTCACTCTGTAGACCAGACTGACCTTGAACTCAAAGATCAGCCTGCCTCTGCACCCTGAGTGCTGGGATTAAAGTAGTGTGCCACCACTGCCCAGCAAATGCTTGTGTGTGAACAGGTGGAACCGACTGTAAACCATCTGACTGCCGAAGGAAACTGGTCATAAAGAGTGCCATTTTTGCTGTTTGCCCCAAAGGCATGCCCAATATTTATACTTATATGTAATTCCTTTATTTTGTTCCAGATGCTCAAGATGAGAAAGTGCTAGAAATCTCAGACTAAGTGGGCAACTTCTGGTGAGTTCCTCGGGTTCATGCGTGCTGGGAGAGTTCGGGTCTCCAAACAAAAGGTCCATCTATTTCATTCCTGAAAGTATGCATCCTGGGGCCCAGAATTCTGTTACAGAATTGCTCTTGGATGTGGGCCCACAGGCCTCTGCTGGGCCCAACTTAGACTGCGTAGAACCAAGACAACCCACCTGTGCCTGTTTCTATGCCACCGACTTCTATAAAGCCTGAGGTTTGAGATGACCTGGCTGGGCCACCCTTGCAGGCACAGGGGCCCCCAGATTCTAGATTGATTAGACGTCTTCTGCACTTTTACATCCAAGCACAATAAGACTTTTGTGTCCCAGGCGCAGGGCCTTGGGAATCCTGTTCTCCCACTTGCCTCCCTTGCCTGTGTTGTGGGAAGATTATGAGGGACAGTACGCCACAGCTCAGTGCACAGCATCAGTGCCAAGCTGGGTCACTGGCTTAGCTGGGAAGGGTCACAGAATAATCTGGCTTTTTAGCATCAGCTCCTGTTTCATTTCCTTATTGCTCAGAGACTTCCATCCCCAGCTAGGCCAAAGGCCTGTTCTGCTTAATGTGCTGGGCGCAAACAAGAGCAACCCTTACTATTACCCCCAAGCCCATCCTGTGGTTGGGAGCAGGGTCTAGAGACTCCTGGCCCTGGAGGGTAGCTTGATTCTGCTGGATGTTTCTGCAAGTGATTTAGGAAATCACTCTTCTTGGGACGCTCTGAGGTTACTTGAAATGTGCCTACAAGACTCTGCTTCCGGCCTGCAAGGCCTCTTCCTAATGTCTTGCTCTGGACTTAGGTTCAGAGGGTGTACGATGGATTTCCAGCATCTAAGAAGTTTGGTTATCTGGAGGTTGTTACGGAAAGCATCCTCAAACACAGAACTCCACACCCATTCTCTCTCTCTCTCTCTCTCTCTCTCTCTCTCTCTCTCTCTTTCTTTCTTTCTTTTTCCCTTTCTTTTTCTAATTGTGAGGTATTTATTCAGAGAAGCAGAAAACATACATTGGTGGCACACGCCTTTAATCCCAGCACTTGGGAGGCAGAGGCAGGCGGATCTCTGTGAGTTCGAGACCAGCCTGGTCTACAAGAGCTAGTTCCAGGACAGGCTCCAAAAACCACAGAGAAACCCTGTCTCGAAAAACCAAAACAAACAAATAAACAAACAAACAAACAAACAAAAAACCCTGCCTCAGCTGGGCAGTGGTGGTGCATGCCTTTTGTTCGAGACCAGCCTGGTCTACAGAGCTAGTTCCAGGACAGGCTCCAAAGCCATAGAGAAACCCTGTCTTGAAAAAAAAAAAAAGAAAAATAAAAGTAACTATAAAGCCAATCTTGTATCCCCTTTACACAGGTCAAGAGGTAGGAGATGGCAGCTCCCACCTCAACAGCTCCCTGTACTGTCCTCTCTCGCCATTTGGTGTAGAAGTTGCAGGTAAGATTTCCCTTCCTAGGCATGTCTGGAAAATGCTCATTCTAGTGTGTTCTTTCCTGACACATCCTTAGAAGTCCTCACTGCACGCAGACATGGGCAGTGCTGGCGTCTCTCTGGGTCTCTGAGATCACTCTCTCGTTTTTTTATTCTGTGTTCCGTTTGCCCCCTTTCTCCTTTTCTTCCTCGTCATTAGTCATCGCTCATCACTAGTCATGAGTACGACACATTCCCTCCTGTAGGTGGGAGCAATTACAGAGGAACAAACCCCAAATGCGTCATTGATTATAGACACAAAGACCAGTTACTAAATACCAGAATTCATGAGGTACAAGAGGCATTTAAATGCATATTTTTGATGAATGAGTTTCTTGGGTTCATCTTTATTACTCTGTTCTAGCATTCTCTTCCCACAGATCCTAAGGAGGTCTATCAAATCCCTAGCCATTCCTTGTTTCTCCTTGTTGACTGACCTACATATCCTCTATCCCTCTTGGCCTCTCTGGGTGGCTGTACAGTACAGAGTCTAGTTGGGAGCAGAGACCACACTAGGTAGTAGGGGAAAGCTGATAAAAAAGACTTAATGACAGGTACTTATCCCCTAAAGAAAAGGCAAGGGAAAACCCTACAATGTCATGGAAGTTGCCACCCTAGGAAGCCTTCACACTCCTAGGCTAAAGGAACAAGGGAGGACACCTTCATTGTCAAAGCTCAAAAACATTGAGCAAGGGCCCACTGAGCTGAAAAGGGGTCTCAGTTCTGGTGTTTCTGATGCTACTGCCTGATCTTGGAGAAGGGAGTCCCAGACATCTGAAAAGAGGCTGGTGTTAGGATTTCAACAGGGGTAGGGTGCATGGACGATTGTGTCTTGGGGGAAAATACTGTGGATTCATTGACTGCCATGGGAAGGAATTTCTATTGTGATTCCAGAATGAGAAGGGAAAGCTGCGCAGTGCTTGAAGGATGGGAACCAGCCCTGTAGCAAGCAGCGGGCAGATGGGAAAAGAGGGGAATCTCTTTCTGAACTCCAGGACTGTGGCGTTCTGCATTTCAGCTTCATTTCAGTAAGGTAGATCCAGGTAGGCAAGGTGGATATGGCTGGGTAAGGGAAGAGCTCTTGCCCAGTATGGCAAGAGCAGAAGACTAGATCTGGGGCTGAGGGGTAGGGTTTATTGACTGGCACAAGTGACCATCAGGCCAACACAAGACCAGCCCTCCTCAGACCAGGAGCTTGGATCACATCTGTTCTACTTCTGCTCACAAACACCAAACATTTTCTGTAAGTCTGGGAAGGGAGAGATGCCCCTGGGGACCTGCAGTTTGTCATTGGAGCACATACGTGCTCAGACCACTGTGGTACCAATTGTATGTGAAAAATGCTCTTCATGCGTGTGAAACAGGCCCCATTTAAAGTCACCCACCTCCACAGCAAAGCATTTCTCTAGTCTAGAAAGAGTAATCAGGGAGATCCTTTCGGAGGAGGCACTGACCTTTGAATAGCTGTGAAGGCTGGGAAGAGTCAGGGATACAAAGGCCATGGGGAAGAATGGTAGACTGTGACATTCACATATGTTTGTTCTCTGAGAATGGTACCTGCTAGACCCACGTGAGGGAGATCAGGAAGGTGACATGTTTGAAAAAACAAGGGAGAGGCTGAAGGCCAGAGAGGATGGGGAAGTCGGTAGGTCCTAGGCAAGCATAGCCCAGGAGCCTTACGAAATGTGTGAATTTGAGCTGGTAGGATCAGTGGGAAGAAGTACTTTACACACAAGTCTGATGGTCTCTGTTTGATCCACACAGAACCCATAGCAGAAGGATGGACCTCACAGTAGAAGGATGGACCAACTCCTGAAAGATGGCCTCTGCGCTCCACATGCGTGCCGTGGCTTGTTGAGGAAGTCATCAGTACTCCCAACATCTTTTCCCCACTTCCCTTCCCCTTCTTTGTTGTTCTATCTCTGTCTGTCCTTTCTCAAGCAAGGGGGTCCTTTATTAATCAATATTCTGGAGAGCTGAGGGGGGAGACTGGTTTGGGTGTGTGTATGATTATAGCCCCAAGAAGTCCAGGCTTGCTTTCACCTTCTGAGTTAGCAAACCCGTGGTGGGGCGGGGGTGGGGGGAGTGTCTTTGTATCTAATACTTCCAGTAAGTCTGGGAGCTAATCTGATGCTCATGGGCAGCCTTGGCAATGTGCCCATTGCTGTAGTCACTGTGGCCTTGCCAACAGCCAGACCTGGAGGGGATGTGGGTGGTGAGGTCAGTCTCATGTGAACCGCATGATGTTATTAAAAGTGTTTATCCATAGGAGGACAGGAGTGTTGATAGCTGGAGTGGGTGGAAAGGATGCTTGACAGACCAGCCCAGCAGCTCTTTGCGACAGATAGCATTTGAGGTGGTGTAGCCGGCTGCCCAGATACGAATAAACACACAGAAATGATATTAATTTGGACTATTAGCTCAGGCTTCTTATTAACTAACTCTTACATCTTAAATTAACCCATTTCTATTAATCTGCTTATGGTCACGAGGCTGTGGCGTACCTGTAAGGTTCCGGTGTCTCCCTAACTCTGCCTACTTTCTCTCTATATCTCTGTTAGAAATTCCTGCCTGGCTTTACTCTGCTAAACCATTGGCAATAAACCAAAGTTTATACCAATGTAAAGTATTCATTTCTATATCATGTCCCCCTTTAATTGAAAACAAACATTTATAAACAATCATTTGGGGAATTTGGGTGTAGTTTTTTCCAAACTGCTTTTTGCTGTTTTTTGGGTGAAGTATTTTTTAGAGTGTATGGAGACCTTTTGCAGGGAATGGTTCTTGTTCCATCTAACTACATTAGCCTGGAAGGAATCCACAGGTTTTTTTTTTTTTTTTTTTTTTTTTTTTTTTTTTATCTTCTGAGGAAACAAAAACAGAACCTCTTTTCTAAAGCAACATATCCATAGACCCAAACTTTGAAGTCAAAATACCTTTATGTTGCTTTAACTTAGCAACCGCCAGAACCAAATGTCTCTCTGCCATAAAAAATTTAAAGAAAACATAATAATATACATAGTTTAGACTCTCTGTGCATATTTTATTTTTATGTGACTTATGTTTTTACTCATAATTTATAACTGTCTGTACTTTTTTATTATTTTCACTGTCTCCTTAAAGACTTTGTTTTTTAAAACTATTTATTTTTTGATAACTGTCTATACTCTCTTTATCTCTCTTTTTCAAGCCTACGTACATTTTAAAAACACATTGGGACCTGTTTAAAGGACTTTTTTTGGTCTGAATTTGTCTTTATTGTATATTTGTAATCATTTTCTGACCAAAAACATCCATGCTGCCAGCACAAGCCAGGAAGTTTTTTTTTTTTTTTTTTTAAAGAAGCTGCACACTTTTTGCTGCTTATGCTGAGTTAGAAAGTCTCTTAGAGGAGCTGTGGCTCTGCTCGCTGCCATCAAACAGAGCCTATCTGAAAAAAAAAATGCAGCTACCAAGAAGCTGTGCTTAACTCTGTTCTTTTGTGTCTAGAATTTCTTCCCAAGTTCTCTCAGTTTTTATGTGAATGTGGTTGCCCCATATGGGCACTATTTGTAGTCAGAGGCTGCTCGTTTGTTTCCTGGCTGCCCAGACCCCAATAATAAACACAGAAACTATATTAATTGCAACTGTTTGGCCTATTAGCTCAGGCTTCTTATTAACTAACTTCTACATCTTAAATTAACCCATTTCTATCAATCTGTGTATTGCCATGAGGGTGGGGCCTACCTGTAAGGTTCTGGTGGCATCTTTCTCCTTTGGCAGTTATATGGCTTCTCCCTGACTCTGCTTATTTTCTCTTTATAACTCTAAATTTCCCACCTGGTTTTACTCTACCAAGCCATTGGCCAAAGCAGCTTTATTCATTAGCCAATCAAAGCAATACACATACAAAAGGACATCCCACATCAAGCTGGGCCTGAGTAACAGAAAGGAAGAACATTCTGGGAGGACATGGGGAAAAAGGCACAAGGTGTGATTGGTCCAGCCGGAAGCTTGGTCCCCTGGGGCTTCAGGATGGCAAAGAGGGAAAGAAACTGTTTTTGTTCTTTTCAGAACAGCATATGCTGCAGCTCTTACTGTCGTGGCCATTCTTCTCACCATTTGACTTTCACGATGGAAGGCTTTAATCAAACCCAAAGACAAAACAGACCAGATAACCAACCCACCTGAGCCTGCTACCCAGCTTTTCAATTATGAGTGTTCTACCGATTTTAAGTTGCCGATCTTCCCCCATGGAGTGCTTTCAAACAAACCCCAGACACCACATCCTGCTTCCTCTGAACCTGTTAGGTATTGTACCGGTCCGTTTTCGTTGCAGGCACATAATCACGGAGACAAGCAGTTTAAGAAAAGAAAACTTCCCTCTGGCTTGCAGATCCAGATGTGTTTGTTCACGGTCACCTGGCAGTATGTTTCTGGTCTGGTAGAAAGGCATGGTGGATAAGAAGCTTCTTATCTCACGGCAGCTAGGAAGCAGGAGAACAACATGAATTGCCAAGGACAAATAGGTCTTTCCAGGAGGTGTTCACTGTTTTTCTCATCACTGTGGCTAAACACATGGCACTGTAAACATGAAGGAAGAGTTTCTTTTGGCCCGCAGTTTGGGAATTCAGTCTGTCACTGCAGGTAGAAAAGGCACGGTGGCAGGAGCATGAGGCAGCTGATCACATCACATCTGCAGTCAGGAAGCAGAGAGATGTGGACACTGGCTGTCGACTCCTTCCCTTCTTCATCTCTGTTACTTGGTGTGGGACCCCAGACTGTTGAATGGCACTGCCCACAGTCAGGTGGGTTTTCCATCTTCAGTTAAACCTCTCTGGAAACACCCTCACAGACACGCTAAGATGTGTGTCTCCAGGTGGTTCCAAATCTAGTCAAGTTGAAAATGAAGATTAACTGTTACGTAGGGATGACCCCAGGGATTCACTTCTTCCTATGAGACCCTACTTTTCACAATTCTGCTACCCCACATAGCATAGTCCATTCAAATTTAACACACATCAAATAAGTCAGGCATGGTGACTCATGCCTTTAATCCCAGTGATGAGAGGCAGAAACAGGTAGATCTCTATGAATTTGAGGCCAATCTGGTCTATACAGTTAGTGCCAGAAAAACACAGTGAGACCCTATCTAAAAAAAAAAAATCTGTCAAGTTACATCTTTTTGAGTCATTGACGAAAGGCCCATAGACACCCTTAAACATCACAGAGTAAAGTTACTTATTGGTTACTCTTCATAACATGATGGTAAGGCCCTATTGTTAAGGTGGCTTACTTACTTATTGTAAGACAGCTTACTTGTCTTTGAACTTGGAGAAATCAAGCTGGTGCTCAATTAGAACTTCACCCCTGCTGACTAGCATTCATAGTGCAGGAAGGTGCATTGCACACTACCGGAGGAAAAAAAGAAGTGCCAGTATCACCCAGTTCACCAAATTCTGAGACCTACAATAGAGAGTTGCCTGCAAAATCATTATAGGAGTAACCAACCACTTTTTTTCCATTGGTTTTAAGGCACACCCCATAAGGTGGTGCTCAACCCTGATACTGCTAAAGTGGTCAAGAACCTGAAACTAGATATGTCGTAGGCCTAGAGAAAACCTACTACTCTTATTCTGATAAAGAAACATAGTAATAACACGACCCATAACGACATATTTCTATACTCCATAGTTAGGTGCACACTCAACTCTCATCAGAGAAGCGTCTTCTTGCAGTGGAAGGTAATTAACACAGAACCCACAACTGGACAGCGTGCAGAGAGTGAGAGACTTGGAATAAACTCAGCCCTAAGTGGGATGCCTTTATCAAACCCCTCCCTTCAAGGCTCAGGGGGCTACGTGAAACAGGAGACAGATTGTAAGAGCGTGAGGTTGTGGACGGCTCCAGAGAAACAGAGTCTTCTACATACAACAGGGTTAACACACATGTGACCTCATAGTGACTGTGACAGCGCACAGGAGACCCACACAGGTTCAAACCAGACAAAATCCCAGCTCTGAGCAAGGGAAGTGGAAACAAAGCTCTACCCAAGCCAAAGTTATTTGCAACTGATACCCGCTGAGAAAGGGGGAAATCAGTTTTCTCAAATGGAGTCTCCCTGGTTTTACCAACCACACTCAAGGGCAGTCCCCGTGCCCAGGGACATCTGACCAGCACAAAACAGACTTCGTGTGTGTGTTGTCATTGTTGCTTTGCTTTGTTTTGGTCTTATTAGTTTTCTATATTTTAGTTTGTTAGTGTTGAATTTCATTTTTGTTATTTTGTGTTTGAGAAATAGAAAAAGAACTTGAAGTTAGATAGAGAGGTAGGGAGGGTCTGAGAGAAGTTGGGAAGGGGGAAGAATATGACCAAAATATATTGCATAAAAATACTTCAGTTAAACCTATCAGTGGCTTTATCCCTCGAAGAAGGTGAAGGCCTCGTGAGCCAATCACATTGCTAAAGCTCCATCTCTACATCCAACTTCCTCATAACCTTTGCAGATGCCTCTCTAAAATACAGACATTTAAAATCCATAGTCACGCTATATCACCTCGTTTAGCACTACTTTTAATGTGGCCTAATAATAAATGTAGATTCAAATTTATTTCATTTTTCTCAAAAATACTTTTGTAAGTTCATTTGTTTGAAGTAAGGTCCAACCCTGGCCACATCTTATGTTTGTTGACATGTTTTTAAGTTCTTTATTTTCAATAGACTTCTATCTGAAGATGAATTTTAAGTCTATTTAATGTGTAACATTTTTCTCTCTTACCTTCTGTGCCATTTATTGAAGATGCTGGATCTTTCTGGATTTGGTTGGCTATTACCCCAATAATGTGAAGATGTGATTTAACATATGAAGGGACACTAATAGCCAGCCCATTTGAGCATGTGGTTCTGGCAGCCCCCCCCCCCCCATTCCCTCTGCCTTGCTAAAAGCTAGCTACCAAGGTCTATTCCCTTATTTGGCCAATTCTACCTCCTGAGACTGATTACCAAGGTCTAGCTATCAAAGTATTGAAGTCCAACAATCAAAAGCCCTCTTTGGCTCACCTAATTAACATGCCCAATTAAAATGAAACACCTTATCCTAATGCAGGCTTCCTCTTTTACCTTTACAATCTGTCATTTTCCTATGGGCCACACCTGTCTCCTCTCTACCCAGAGGCAGTCTCTTGTCCCTCTGGGACAGATACCCCTTCCCCCTCTCCCTTGCTCCCTTCCTCTTCTCCCTCTTCCTTTATCTCCCATCTTTATTCCTTATTTCCTACCCTTTGCTCCCCTGGGGCAAATAAATCTCCTTTGTGCTGAGAACTTGGTTTTAGGGGTCCTGAGTGGATACTTCTCTTTTCGGATGCTGGTTATAACTGGAGGGTGGTATAGATGCTCCTTTATATTTTGGGTTTGTTTTTCTCTTCTTCCTTGTTTTGGCAAGTTGCCTTCTCAGTGACAAGTTCACTATGGTGTCCTATCAGGAAATGCCCAATGACTGGCTCATTTAAATCAACACTTTTTTCTTTTCGTCTTTAGGAAAGATCCTTGTTGTGGGTTTTTTTGTTTTGTTTTGTTTTTTTTGGTAGATACTAAGTATTATGCTGAATGCATTTATTCTCAGTTCAACAAAATTTTGTAAAAATAGTTTCCAGGTCCTTAACTTGCTTGTTTTTGTATCTATCTATTTTATTTTCTGATTTTGGAAAAAAATTTTTCCATCCTTATAGAATAAGCCAGAAAACTGCGCCCAACTTTTCCTGTTTTTTGGGAGAGTTTGTGTTGGATTGGAACATTGTCTTTGAGTGTTTGGATAGGGTTTGCCTGTATGTCTTTCTCCACAGACCTGCTGTTTTTCTTGTGGGAGCATTTTAAATCACTTACGTGGTTTCAGACCTTTCAGGATTTTTTTTTTACTTCTTGAGTTTACTTGGTGAGTTATATTTTCCTACAAATTTGTTTATTCCATCTGAGTGTTCAAAGTTATTGGCATTGGATTTTCATAATTCCTCCTAATTCTGCCTTTCCCATGCTAACCTTCCTTATTTATGCCTTCATGTACTTCAGTGGTTTAGGCACTGGTCAACATTGCCTTAGATCAGCAGTTCTCACTGGTGGGTTACTACTCCTTTGAGGGTCGAATGACCCTTTCCCAGGGGTCACCTAAGACCATTGGAAAACACAAATATTTACATTATAATTCATAACAGTAGCAAAATTACAGTTATGAAGTAATAATGAAAATAATTTTATGGCTAGGGGTCATCAGAGCATGAGGAATTGTATTAAAGGGTCGCAGCATTAGAAAGTTTGAGAACCACTGACCTAGGGTATCCCAGTTTTATAGTCTTTGACTTTGTTGACTCTCTCTCTATTCCAAATTTTCTTCTTATGAACTAGGTCTGATGACACATGTTTATGATCTCGGCACTCAAGACACGGAGGCAGGAGGATGATAGTCAGAGACCACCTCCACTATGAAGAGAGCTCAAGGCCAACCTGGAATACAGGAAACTGTCTCAAATATAAACCCCAGGCTTTCTGTTTTACATTTTTAATCTTTGATTTTTATTTGCTCTTTCTTTTGAATTTACCGTGTTCTGGTTTACTTTTCTAGTCTTCTTTAGCAGGCATCCTAGCTTTCTTCTTCATCTAAAATAATATTTCATGGCTGCTCATGTTATCTTTAAGTCTTGATTCAGCTGCTTTCTTAAACTTCTGGCATAGTCTCCTGATTATAAAACAGTCTGAAAATATAGTCTATGTTTATTTACTCTAATTCCTAGTATAATTTCTTTTTGGAAAGAAATTGTTGTCTTATTTTTTTTTTTTTTGAGTGTTAACTTGTACTCTGTGGAATGCACAGACCACGGGTCTACTTGGGCAGGTTCTACCAGCACACACCTGTGTAAACTAGACCTCCAGCATCACAGTGTTTGTTCTCATCCTTGCTGTCTCCAGCAAACCCACACGCAGTGACGACTCTGACTTCCACATTGTGTAGCATCTCTGCCTTCTCTAAATGTAACACAGTGGAACCATGTTACATGCATGTAGTCTTTGTGACATTTTTTAAAAGCTCACTGTTTTGCTTGGCTGTTTGTTTTGTTCATGTTGTTGCTTCTGTTCTGTTCTTATACCTCTCTTTCTTTTTGTTTTCTTGCCTCTTCTCTTTTCCCTCCCCCTAGACCCCTTCTTCTTTCCCCTTCTTCCTGTGCTCTGTGACGCATAAATAGCACAAATTTCTCCCATGGATGCATATGTAGATTCTTTCTAGATTTGCTCTTTACTTTTTTGGTTATGATGAAAACTGCTGCAAATGTTTTCATGACAATCTTTTTGTAGTACTTGTTCCTATTTCTTTCAAGCAAATACATAGGGGTGGAAATGAGAAAATATTTAGGAGTCATAGGTAGGTGTGTATAAGAAACCAATTTTTTTCCCAAAGAGGTCTTTCTAATTTCTGTGTCTACCAGAAAATCCTTACCAGCATTGACCTTTTAAGACCTTTGAAGTTTTATAACCCTAGAGACTATGCTAGTTGTGTTTTTTAAAAAATCAATTATATGTTATATAATTTACCTACAATAAAGTGCACCCATTAAAAGTATGATTGGTGTGTCATGACAAATATAAAACCATCACCCCAATCAGGATGAAGGACCTTCCAGTCACCATGTACCCCTTTGAGGCCAAGTAAACACCCACTAACTTCATTTCTTCTTCTGTGTATTGCTCTTCAGTATAGGATTTCATGCTAGGGAATCACACACTATATAGTGTCTTTTGAACATTTTATTTTAGTTTAATCCTCGCTTTTGTGCTCAGTGGAGCCTGTTTCTCTCTTTGCTGACTGTCATTCCTTTGTACAAATACGTCACAACTTGTCTTTTCATTCATCTGATGATGGGCTTTTGGTTTGTTTTTAGTTTTGGCTTTTATGCAAAAGCCTTCTCTGCAAAATATTTGTACAAGTGTTTGGTGTACGTGATTTTATTTTTTTGGATGAATTTCTAAGATGGGAATGATTAAAGCATACAGGAGGGATATGTTTAACTTGTGAAACAATTTTAAAGTGTACTTTTATTGTATGTATGAGTGCTCTGTTTATACATATACATAGGCACCATATACATACATGCCTGGTGCCAGCAGAGGTCAGAAGGGGCATTGGATGATCTGGAACTGGAGTTACAGGTGGTTGTGAGCAACCATGTGGGCTCTGGGAAGTGAACATAGGTCCCCTTAACCAGTGAGCCATCTCTTGAGCCCCCATGTTCAACTTAAAAAGCTATCAACTGTTTTCAAAGTGCTTGTATAATTTTACAAACCTACTAGCAGTGTGTGAGCATCTCATTGCTGTGTATCTGCCAGTGGTTGCTATGGTGACGCCAGTTTTAACTTTTCTAGCCTTAGTGTAGTGGCTTCATTTGCATTTCCCTGATCACTTGGCCATCTTTTCTCATATTACAGTGTTCTTAGTGAAATATATCTGAGCATTTCACACATTACTGCTGCCCGTTACCTTCCTGTTGCTGTTTTGCAAGAGATAGTTACATATTTTACTTGATGTATTTGTGTATGTGTGACCAGGTCTACATAGTTGTGTGAGCGCATATAAGAAGGGGCCCAAGGAGGCCAGAAGAAGGTGTCTGATCCCCTGGAACTGGAGCTGCTGGTGGTCGTGAGTTGCCTGCTATGGATTTAAGCTATAGCTTTTCTCCTCTCTCAGCTGAAGACTTGGTGTGATTGACAAGGCTGAGTGGATCAGATTGCCAAAGTGCCTCACTATTGTGGCTGCTCAGTGTGTCCATCAGCTCGGAGCTCTCTCAGTCTGTGCTTTGCAGAATCAACTGCTCTCAGAGACCTCTGGGCAGATTCTTCTTGCCCAGTGCCCAATTCCAGCTGCACGGCAGCCCCAATCCCTGACTTCTGTTTCTTTCACCCATGAGACCGTTGCTCTTTGCAGGGCAGTGGTTCTCAACCTGTGGGTTGAGATCCCTTTGCAGAGTGGGGGTGGTGAGGGGTGGCGTGCATATCAGAGGTTTTGCATTTCAGGTATTTACATTATGATTCATAACAGTAACAACATTACAGTTATTAAGAAGCAATGAAAATAATTTTGTGGTTAAGGGTCACCACAGCAAGAGGAACTGTATTAAAGGGTCATAGTGTTAGAATGGTTGAGAACCGCTCTGTACAGAGGTTTGGGAAGACGCTTCGGGCAAGAGGATGAAATGGACCTGGTGTTGCCTCTCAACTGCAAATGTAGTGGCTGCTAGCAGCTGACCATTTGATGGATGTGCGAACACATTCAGTGGAGCCCTCATCCTCTCTATTAGAGGTTGAAAAGTTTCTGTCTAGAAGAAGAGAGCTCTCTGAGTAAGGGTGGTGATGGATGATGGGGAGCAAGTCAGTTCTGGCTTACACCTTGATGATAGGACAGGCTTCTCTGGGGGATGGAGATGATCTGGAATCTCTTCTAGGGAACGAGTCATAGTTTATGTGTGTGTGTAAAACCATCACATGGAAATTCTCCCCCTGTTTCCCACCAGAATCAATAGAGATGGCTTCTGTCTGTGCTCTTCAAATGATGGCGTGGAATTGAGGAGATGCTATATGAATAAATTCCAGTGTTTAATACAAGTTTCTCAAGGATGGAGCTGGTTCTCCCTTTTGGTAAAGTTGAGGGATGGTTCCCCTAGAGGTGGGCACATAACTTCCTTTGAGAAGTCTTCCAGCTCTCATGGTAGGATGCACCCTCTGTGTTGAGCTCCTGCAAGCCCCTTGCTCTTGATATTTAGTACAAAGCAGTTGAAATCTGAGAGGCCGGCAGTACTTTATTTGGGGCCTCATTGTTAGCTTACTCTGAGATCTGGAGGAATCCCCTTTATGTGGAGTTTATCCCTCCTCTGAAATACAGAGCTCACTGACTCCCCAGCCCTACCATTCTGGAAGAGACATTTCAGTAAAACCAAGGTATCAGTAAAATCTCCATGCTGATTGAGCATCTTTTTAAAGCCACTTAATATATTTATTTACTTATTTAAGAGTTATATGTACTTGCCTATGTGGGAATTTGTACACATAAGGGTAGGTGCCTATGGAGGTCAGATGAGGGTGTCAGAACACCTGGAGCTGGAGCCCCCAACATGGGTGCTGGGAACTGGACACCTTCTACAAGAACAGTATGTGCTCTTAGCCAGCCCCCATTTACTGTCTTTAGACTATACATGTTACTCATCTTTTCTGAGCCTCTGTTTTCTGGCCTGTGGACATGCCAGTGTACTGTGCTCATGAAAATGAAATGAGACAATAAAGAGAAAGGGGAAAACACCGTGTTCCTTTCTTTATCACCTGCTCCCGTGGATCTCAAATTTATGAGGTGTCTTCGTTCCCGGGGTCTTGGTCTGTAGTGCACATCACCCCCCATTCCTCATACTCCTACTCCAGTTTCCCATCCATCTCCACAGTTCTGCACCAGTGGGTTTCGGGGGCAAGCACACGGTGTGTGCTTTTATGGGCCTCTGGGTGGTTGTACCAAGGTGGGTGGTTCCCCCTAGGAGGCATTGACTTAACCTCTGGATGTCCCTTGACCCATCAAGCACGACTCTTGCACTTGGAAGTTTAAAAGAAAACAAGTGGAGTGGACAGGTGAAGGCCAGAAAACCAAGTGGCCTATGCCTCCACAGTCAAGTAGTCCTCACGAAGGCTGCTCAGTCACCCGCGGGGGCAAGGCTTTCGGGAAAAGCCAGCCCTTGGCAGCCCAGCCCTGGTGGAAAGTTTGGTGTGGTCAGATCGTGTTTTTCAGCTCTTGCTCGACTCTCCAGTGGTTCTGTTTTGACAGGTGTACCCGGGGTTGATGCTGCTGAGGTTGCCAGCTCAGCCCTGGCCTGGGGAGAAGAGCTGGGGGAAGGGTGGGTTTGCCCAGCCCTGTCCTGTTCTGCAGGAAGAAGGGAGCGGTTGCCAGGGTGATACCAGAAAGCAAGCCCGGAGTTTTCAGAGGTATGGAGGCAGCTCAGGTCTGTGGCTTCTAGGAAGCCCTGAGCTCTCCTTGGGAAGCCCAGGAATAATTTCAGTGTTTCGTAAACATGGAATTAAGGTCACACCAACAGCAAAGCCTGTGCTTTGAGTCTAGTAGTTGAAATCTCACAGGCTATCCCCTTTGCATGAATATTCAGACTTAATTTTCTTGGTTCTAGAGAGATCCAATGAAGCAATTGAACAGAGCAAGAGAAAAATAGCTTGGTTAGGGTAGATAAATGTGAATCCCCAGGCCCTGGGCAGTCAGGACCGTTCACTCTTTGTGTTCACAAAGAAGAATCTGAGAGTCTTGGAGGTCATTCTGCGTCTACAGCCCCACAAGGAAGAAGAGTCCAGCAGTGCTGGAGCGTGACCCGTTCCAGCTCCATGTCCACTGAGGGACCCTGTCAGGTAGCTCACCCCATCCCCACTCTTAGACAAGACCTCATGTTGAGTCATAAACATTTAGTTCACACTCTATGTTTCCAACTGCCCACTCCCAAAGTCCCAATGAATTCTTTGGAATTTCAATAGAATTGAAAAAAAAAATTCAGATCATCTAAAGGACTCTGTGATGATATAGGACAGAGGGACGAGTGTGAGAGAAAGAAAGGGCAGAAGGGTTGGGCCTGGCTCTCACAGCGTAAGGAGTGTGTGGGCTTCCTGTTCTGGCTGTTCATTTGCAGTGGAGTGGTGAGTGTCAGTGAGGCTGAAGAAGCTTAGACTCTGTGTAACGGTCACCATGGGATGGAGGCTGACGTCTATGGGAGCCTGGTTGCTGCTGGGTACCTGGACTGACTGACTTATGCGGCTGTCATCTCAGTGTGACTGGAGCCATGAACTTCACGAAGTCATAAACAGAAACAAAGCCGAAAGGTTGGGCTCGAGACTGTGTCTGGAAAAGTCCTTGTCTACCACGGGGGGGGGGTGTCGAGGGGGCTCTCTGCAAACCTGGAAGAGATGACACCTCGAGTTTAACCTTCCCAGCTTCTTGAACCACGAGAGAAGAAATTTCTGTTGCCGAAAGCGTGCAATCTGGCGTGTTTCCTAGTGACAGCTGAGCAGACCAATACCCTGGGTAACTAGCAGAAGAACTACCCAGGAATTTCATGGGAACCAGAGAGCAGTTAAACAGTTTGTCCAAGGCTGTCTCAACATGCATGTGTCTAAAAAACTTGTTATGTCTGTGGCCAACAGTAGTCAATGCTTTGCTCCAAAGCTCAGTCCCCTCAACTGTGAGACAGAGATTGCATGTGATATATGATAGAAGGTAGATAAAGACTGAGTTACTATCTGTGAAGTGTCCAGGCTCTGCCCGACTGTACCATTGTGTTCACTTTCATTATTACTGTCGTCTGGTGCGGAACCCTGGGCTCTGGCGCAACCTGACTATTGCCACCTTGTAATCAGAGCAGCTGCGAACACTCAAGTGCCTTTTACGAGATTGGGGCCACCTAAGATTCTCTTATGGAATGGAAGAACAGGAGGACTCACAAGATTCATGAGGGTCACAGTCCTTCCTGCAGGATATGGAAGCAGATAACAGTTGCTGGAGAGAGAGTGTGTGTCTTTGGCGGTGTCTCTCCCTGTAAGTTGCCTATGCTTCTGTAAGTGATTTCAATTAGACTCAACTGATTCTCCAAGCTGGACTCGGATGGAGCTGTTTCTTTGTTCTGTGGTTGCTCTATTTGGGCTTCTCAGATAAAGCCATACAACACGGTCCCACTAACTTTCGCTGTTGGCTTGCCTATAGTTCCTCTAACTCGGTGAATCATGTCGTCACCTGTCTCTACTCCCTCCGCCCCCCTTTCTGTCTGCTGTTACAGCTCCCTGTGTCAGGTAAACTCTTGACTCAAGGAATCAGCAATGGGTTTTTTCACCTAGAATCTAAGAGTTATAGCTAAAAGCCCACGCGTGGTCAATCTCAGTCCTGTTCTATTGGTCCTCATGTGTACAGAAGATGCTGGCTGGGGCAAAGGTGACAGGGACAGGGAAGGGATTCGGGGACCACTGAGTGATGGGAAGATGAAGGAGCAGCCAGGTGTCTGAAGGAGGGCGTGCAGTGCTTATATCATCTCCCAATAATCACAGGTCACCCGGACTTCTGGTTCCATAGTCCCTGGCTTACCTATGCACCCATCCATGAGGGGACCCTGTTTGCACGAGCTCAGTGACATCTGCCTTCAGCCTGTGCCCTGAGTCAAGTGACTCCTCAAATCACACTGCTAGAGGCTGGTTTCTAATACTCTAGGCCTCAGATGGCTTTTTGTAGCTTGGCTCTTACATTCTCAAATTGATTGTTTTTTTGTCCCTGTGTCTTTTCTGTCATTTTGTCCTCTAAGTGTATCCTTTGGAACTGAACTCCGATGTAGCTTCGTTGGGATTTAGTTCCGAGACCAGCTGATACCCTCACTTACACTTTTCTTCATCCCAGGGCCTGGCCAGTATTGTGGCAACCAGCTGTTCAAGACTTCTGGAGGTTGGCCGGTAGTCCAGCGGTGTGAGGCGACTCTAGCGGCTGTCTTTCCTGTTGTCCTAGTGCTACTAGCTGGGCGTCACCCTTCTGAACATGCCCTGTCTAATCTCTGAGACTTGCCTCCACGCTCCAGCTTCCTCCGCCTCTCCCTGCCTTGTTTCACGCGAGGCTATCGATGCGTCTGCCCTCCTGAGGAAAAGTGATCAGGCTGGTTTAGGCCTTACTCTCCCTCGCGATCCTTAAGCAATGAACTTGGCAGCCCACACATGGCAGGTGCTGTGGGAAAGATGGACCTCATGCCACACAGAGGAGCAAGGCTCATATATGATGGTCTCATCCTGGTTCTTCCACATTTTCACTTCTACTGGTTACCCCTGACTCCTGCCTACCCCACAACAAACCAGTGCCCTGGCTTTGCACAGGGTTACATTTGACTTAGCAAATGAATTTACTCTCCCTTTAAAGCCCCCTGTGGAGCAAGGCCCAGTTTGATTTCCAGGGAACCACCTGATCTCTGTTTTTGCAGGCCCCTTGGAGAAAGTCTGGCCTTGTCTTTTCCTTCTTTTTTGTTCTTTTTCTTTGTTTTAGAGACAAGTGGAAGCAGGAGGCATCCCTCTGGACTCCGGGCCTGTTCTATTTTCTATTTTCCAGTCTCACTGTAGCCAAGTAACTACAGGGTCTAGCTGCAAGTTTTAAGGATTTTCTTCACCTAGAATCTAAGAATTACGGCTGAAGGGTAAGGCCCATGTGTGGCCAATCTTAGGTCCTGTTCTGTTAGACCTTGTGTGACCAGAAGATGCTGGCCAGGGAAAAGAGACGGGTATAGAGAGGGGACCCACTATTTCCAGCTTGGCCTTGCCCTTGATGGTAATTTCTTAGACTCTTGTTTGGGCTTCTCTGCCAACCACTAGAACACCCAGGGGATCTCAGTGCTCAGATTCTGTGACAGAACCCTTGGCAGTGATTCCCCCACTGAAGGTCAGTATGACATGGATCCCAGAAGGGATTACTTCCTCAAGCTGGGTACAAATACTAGAAGACACATCCCTCCTGGAAACAGCTCTTTACTGGGTCAGTGATACTGTGTCGTGTGATATTATCATATGTAGACAGGACAATTATACAGCAGGGGGTAGGTGGGTTGTGCAAGCCAGTTGCACACTGATGTTGAGGATGAAGATGACACAGAGGCTTTGGGCAGGAAGAAGACAGGTCTCTGAGGCTATGCAAGGGAGCAGACAGTGCTGTCCTTTGCCCAGGACGGCCAAAGTCTGCTGGAGTCTGAAGGAGCAGGGCAGCTTTATGGAAAGTGTCTGGAGACAATGCAGGCCTCTCCCAGCATCCCTTTCTGCCAGTGTATATGCGAGAAGTTCATGAAAGACGAGAAGTAATGTCAAAGGCTCCTTGTGCATGTCCACGCTCTTCCCATGCCTGGTCCAGTTTGCTGCTCACATGGGAAAGAGCTCCAGTCATCTTAGGTCATGGTGGGGTGAGGTCAATGTGCATCTGTGGATAGGACAGCCAAGAGTAGGAGGCAAGAGCTACCCTGTTATCAGGAGTGGACCCTGCAACAGCTTCTTCCTCCCTGGCCACCACAGGGAAGCCCCGT